ATTCAGTTGATCTTAGTATTTTGTGATGCTTGTTGAATTTTAAGTTTTTTAGTTCTGAGTTGCTAGCATTACATATCCCCACATGAGAATTTGTGTAAAGATCATTCCTGCTGAAAGTAAAATAAAAACTGGAAATCTTTCCGTTAGTCTGAGGTTTTGTAACAGCTTGTTTGTACAAAGTCTAAATGTGGAGACAGATTTGACTTGTAGTTTTAAACAATAATAACCTCAGAATACTGCTAATAAATGCTGGAGAACTTGTCAGTGCTCAAACAAGTTTGAAGATATTTGAATTATTTGCCAGACTTGGCCTCTACACTGATGGAGTTTGGGCTAGAATGTATGTCCTAAATAGCTGATCAATTAGTATTAAATGCCTAATAGTTATGCTTATTGTTTGTAGTTATCCATACTTTTTTACCATTATCATAACCTATTAATCATTTGTTAACCCTTTATAAACCATTTATAAATGTCCTCTGAATTAAAAAGGTGTGACCATTTGGGTTTTTTCTCAAGTTTAATATTAAAGGCAAGTCCAAGGTCAAGATGGGCACAGGGAGGCTTTGGGGAGCTGGTGTAGCTTATATTTTGGCCAGTCAGCTGAGGAACCACGTGGAACTAAAATTAGTAAAGTGTGTGCAGCGAAGAAAGTTCACACGGTGTAATTCGCTGTGGGCAGTATTAGCGTTGATTTACCCCATCTGTAAATGGCATGGTCTGTCTAGACCTTTGGAACATTCCTCAGCTCCTTATTTAATGTAGGAGGAATCATTTCTGAAATTAGCATATAAATTGTCTGGAGTCAGCAGCCCTTTAAAACACTGTTCTACCCTTGTGTCATGGCACAGTAACTGTTTTAACAAAAATAAACGTCCCAGTCGGGCACGTTCTCATGAAGAAGCTCTTGACTTCACATTGCTAAAATAAAAAGTGCATAAAGCCGAGAAAATTCATTAAGTTGAAAATGGGAAAATGGTCAGGATTTGATTTGGGTAAGTCGTATTTATTTAGTCCCGTTAATAAGGGGAAGTGTATTATGATAAGGAAACATCTGGCACGGTCTATTCACATAGGTTTATGCAAGTGAAACTGGAGGCTTTTTGGGCTTTTGATATAAAGTTTTTTCCTTTCTTTGGTCTTCCCACATAACTTTCATATAGGCCATGCTCTGTGGGGCATTCACTCCAGGGCCCAGTCCAGCAGGCGAGCAGGTCTGTCCCGGCACGGGGATGCTGCCGAAACAAGGTACAGGGAACCCCTTGGAGGCAAATCCTCCTCCTTGGCTCTCGTGCTTTTGTTGGGCCTTCTAAAGTCCTGTACTTGCTCCTTTCCACTTTAGTTGCCAAGAGTAACATGCAGTGCCCTCGTCTAGGTTATAATTTTCAAGGGAAGATAATAAAACAAACATGCAGCTCGTGAATTTGTGTAGGAACTGGGAACTTGCTGTTTAAAAAGAGTAGATGTGTACCCAGAGGTGAAAAATAAATGACAATACGGCGAGGAAGGTTTATTTGGCATGAATCTGAGATGACCACACTGAGCAGTGAAGCCAATAAAATCTTTGTACTAGGAAATCATGTGTTCTGAACATGCCATGCACTTTGCAGAAGAACTATTCCGGGAATGTTGCTGGAGAGTTTTATATGTTTATTTGGTACTTATTTTTCGTCTCCCTTGCTCCAAAAGCCAGGTGCTTTAATCACAATGAAATCCATTGCCCAGGTCACAGAGAAAAAGAAATGGAAAATAATGTATCACAGAAAGTCCTAAAAATGATCTGAAATAACATTTTTTACATGCAACTGAATAATAGTTTTAAGTTGGGGTATTTCCTTACCTCCCTGGGGTTAAATACTGAATTTGTTACTGAAAATGCCTTATTAAAAAGCTTTTCTTCATTCCAGAAAGGTTTGGCTTTTGACCAGCAAAGCCTCCAAGATGCTGGATCTTAAATTTGTTGTGGTCCCAGTGTCCATCCTGTATGTCACCCTAATGTTCTGAAGGCAACATGTGTTTCAAAGCAGAGGGTGAGATAAGATTTTTTTTTTTCCTAATTAAATAGTGAAGAACTGTTCAAGAAGGAAAAAAAAAAAAATCCCAACAAGACAACCAAACCCAACTCCCCAAAAATAAAATGCTAGAGTAGAGTAATTTGGGAAATGCTTTATCCTGTCTTTTATTCAAACAACTTCAAAATTATTTTATGCGTGGGCAGCCCCGGTGACCTTCTGACAGTGATGTCATGGTTAAACTTGTTGTAGTACGAGGATCTCAAAGCAGTGGTCATGCCTTTATCTTTGTTGGCTTTGTGTGGTTTGTTTTTTTTAACTTTATTTGTATAAAAAAAGCTTGTATGGCTAAACACAGGGGTACTGATAAACGCAGGTTACGTGCAGCAAGCAGAGTTTGTGTTCTGTGCTGCTGCTCTGCCCGGCACAGGGAGGCCTTGGCTGGCTCTCTGTGGGGCCACAGGCTTGATACAAAACAAAAAATTCACAGTGCAAAGTGACAGGGAGATGGCTGGGGTGGTGTCTGCGTGTCCCAGTTGGGTTGGAGCGGGTGGGCTGAGCTTTCCCCTCCAGAGCCGGCGATAGCGGCTGTTTCGTGACCGCGAGCTTGGTAACCGCAGACTTCGCCTTTATCCCACGGGCTTTGGAGTGTCTGATCCCCAGATAACCCTGCTCCCAAGTGTCAGAATACACTGGGTGAACCAGTGCAGTGCATGGGAGGCGTGAGGTGGGTTGTAGTGCTCTGGGACAGGCCACGGATTTGGGGGGGTGCCATGCGACATCTTCGGCACCTGCCGCGCCTCTGCCGCGGCTCCCGGGGAGCTGCCTCTGCCAAGCTTGGGGTGGTAGTGGTGGTTTGGACAAGGAACTCTGAGGGACCAGGCCTGGGATTATTTCGTGAAGTGTGTGCCCAAGTCAGCCCCAATCCTGTGGCACAAAAACCTGCTGCAGAGGGTGTTTGTGGGGCTCAGAGTTGCGTCCTTATGGTCTACATGTCATAATATCTGCGTTTTTTGAGTAGTCCCCAATGGAAAAATGGCTTTGAATTTTCCTATCTGTACCCCTTTGATGTTTTGTAGCTTGTGGTGTGACTCCTGTGCAGGGCTAAGGGTTGGGCTCAGTGATCCTTGTGGGTCCCTTCCAGCTCAGCATATTCTGTGATTCTGTGAAAGGATGTATGCTTGTTTTGATGTTTTCCTTTAAAAATGTTTCTGCTTCAGTGGCACTTTAAATGTTTGAAGGGTTCCCCCTCGCTTATTACTCAATTTAATTGGAATTATGGTGCCCATCAAAAAGTATTACTGCAAGGTGACCTGGAAATAATAATTTCCTTTCATCTATACCAAACATTTGTAGATCATTAAAACGTCACAAATAAAAAAGTCTTAGTCACAAAGCGATGGCTTTATATGAGCACAGTAAAATATGAGATTTCATTATATACAAAAAGGCTATGTTTTGTACTCCTGGTTCACAGAGCAAACCTCCAACATATGTGGAATGCATGGCAGGATGTAGGACCCTCTAAGGGCCATGTACAGATATGTGAAGGGGAAGAGGAGGGGGAGAGGGGAGAAAAAAATAAAAAAAAGATTGGGAAAAAAAAAATCACTGTGGGTCTGAGGAAACGACCCCTTTCAGTAACAAATGGAGCATGTGCTCTGGGTCTCCGGGAGGATTTGTGCAGGGATCTTGCTCTCCATGTGCACACATTCCTGTGAATCAGACAGGTGTTAAAGTGAAATGGTGCCCAGAGGACGCAGCACCCTCCTCTGCTATCAGCAGCCTGACCACATGACGGATCCAAAAGCAGCCAAGCACAACTGCTGAGGGCTTTGCCAAGGGCTTGGATGCCAAATGCTGAGAGAGAGTATCCTTGCCAGCTTGGCACCTTTAGGCCATGTGGCTGCTGCTGGCATGGAGCTGTCATTGTAATGTGCTGGGAAGAATGGAAGCAGAAACTGTCTTAATAGTTCCTTGTGAATGAAGCCCTCTTATTGTTGGGAATATAAAATATTAATTACCTTACAAATGTGCTTGAGAGGCTCTGCGTGGCTTTGGCATCTGTCCAGACCTGCAGTGGTGAAATCAGAGGATTTTACTTCTTGGCAGTTGAATTTATTTATATCCCTCCCCCTACCCCACCCCTCACCCCTCCCTGGCATTGCACTGGAAATAAGAGGGGAACTATTTGAAAAAAATTGACATCTGGAGGAAGATGTTCATTGGCTTCTGGGATTTGGATCAGTCCCTGAGCTGGTGCCTTAGGAGTGGATTTAACCAGTGCTGTAATCTTCTGGCACCTGTTGCAGTTTTTGGCAGTGGCACAGGACAGCTTTGATTGCACTGGGACTGGAGGAGTGAACATATGTCCAATGCCCACCCCAGAAAGAATGACTTAGTGCCCTTAATGCCTCTCCTATTGTTTTCCCCCCACTTTCTCTTGTCTTATTCATCAAGCTGCTGTTAGTAGTTATTACGTGCAGGCAAGCACCCATCAGCATCTTCAAACAAATCAGGGATAAAGCAAGAGGAAAACAGGAACTGGGAGAGTTCTACCTTATCAGAATCCGGCTACTTTTTGCACTTGATTTTCAGTTTGTTTGTCTGGCCCCTGAATCTTTAAGAGGGGTGGTAAATAAAGGACTCCAGAAAAAAAATGGTGCATGTGACAGTGTCTGAGATGCAGTCAGAGAAAGATAAATACATTAATCAAAATAACTGATTATGTATCTTCAAGAAGGGGATTCAGAGGACCCATTAAAGGAAGTCTCTGCCTACATGTCTCTGCACTGATTGTACATCTGTAAATGGCTGCCATCCAGCAAAGCTCTTAAGTGCATGTTTAACTCTCAGCACAGCCTGGCTACAGCAGTGTTGCTAACTTTGGCATGTGAGCTCTTCTGCTTTTGGGGCATTCACATGCCTAGTGAGAGGCACATGCTCATGTGCCCTTCTGGATAACTGGCTCTTTCTTGTGTCCTACAGGCCCGTGGCCAGGAGCACGAGCCCGGTTTCCTGCTCCCATAGAAGGCCTGGAAGATGGCAGTGGGGTTGCACATCATCTACGGCTCTGAGGTTTTTGTCCTCCTCTTCAACGTCACCGAAATGCAGAGGTACAAACTCCTGAGAAACCGTGTGAAGCCTCCCAGCACCGCGTGTGTAACTTCACCTTTCCTGATGCCTGTGCAGAATTTAGTGCCCTTTGTTTAAAGTGACTCCAAGTAACTCGTGCGAAATTGTGGCAAACACTGAGAGACAGACGAAAAGCATCGTGCTCAGATATCAAACACTTGATTAAAAGCCATGCTGCTGCATCACAGTTGTAGGTGTTTGTACTGAGGGAGAGCCTGGGAACGCACGTGCGTTGAAATTTGTCCTTGCATTTGCTGCCTTGTAAAAAGTCAGTCTGGAGAGCTGGGGTGCTGGATTAGGTTTGGAGAGAAAGTCCTCAGGTCCTTATGGTGGTTCTTGGAACTACAACTCGACTTGTTAGTCTAGGAAGTCAACAGAAGATCTTGGGCTTCCCGTCTACCTACGGATTTCAAGTAAGGTGAACATCAGTAAAGGCAACCTGGCTGATAAAGCTCTTAAATTATAAACAAGGAGAAATTAATTAAACATAATCTAATTGCTCAGATCTCATTAAGTACCTCTGTCAACATATCCAATGTAGGGGGGGGGGCGGGAAATACAGAAGGAAAGGAAAAATTCCATCAGTAACAAACAACTGTACCCATAAAGTCCAATTCTTACAGTAAAGTCCAAGCAAGCAAACTCGGCAAAAGATTCCAGTGTGTGCAGTCCAGAGTCCACTAGGATATTTTCCAGACTACCATCTGAATCAGAAATTTGCTGGGCGAAATAACTCTGATTCTCTCCAGTAGCTTCTTGGTATGCCTGAGGTGGGATTCTGAAAGAGGAATAGCTGGCAAGTTGTGTTTTTGTTTTTACCTTGGCCAAAGCCTGTTTGAATTACAGGGATCGTAGTGCATCTCTGGTCTTTGGAACCTGCACTCATTTATTTTAAGGAAGTTAATTTCTTGGAGATCATAAAAAAGCCAGATGGGGGAAAGCTATCCTGTTGTGAGAAAGTTCTTATCTGCTTCATTGAAATAACTGAAAATGGGTTTCTAAATAGTCCAAAGAAGTTCACTTATGGGCTAAGACCCAATTTTCTTTTTTTTTTTAAAAAAAAAAAAGGCAACTATGAGAAATATTTTAAAATATCTTTGTCCAGCTTTTTGCCCCTGGAGGAGGAAGTGAGAAATTTAGAAAGCAGCACATGTGACAGATGCTGCTCAAGATGCTCAACACATTACTTAAAGATGCTCTGTGACCATCATGTTGTGAGTAATAAAAGAATGTGAATGGGATGGAAGAGGAACAGTCCAGATTTGCTGTAACCACATCTGTAGCCCCAGCCCTCTCACATGATGGTCACCAAATTCCTGCCGGTTGCCGGAGTATTCCCAAACGTATCTGGGCAGTGCAAAGCCCCGCGGGACTGGGGAGCCCTCAGGTTACCTCCAAGTGAGCTGGCATGTCTGCAGTCGATTACCACACAGGGATACCAGCAGCAGTGCCAGAAACAGTAAAGCTCTGTTACTGCCATACATAGTTAATTAGCTCGGGTGTCACAGAGAGCAAACACAGCTATATTGCTTCTGGTTCTGCACTAAGTTAATTGAGGCTGGCTTGGGGATCTTTGCCCCAATGTGCAGTGCAGACATACCCAGGAATGCACTCCTATTGTTGACTGAATACTGTATTTTCACATAAATGTGGCAGGAATATAATTGCAGGGTGGAAAAGGAAGGCCAATATACATTCACTTTGCTTTAGAAGCTAAATTAAACCTTTGACTTAACTCACTTCTATACCAGCTCCCTGCAGGCATTTCTACAGGCTTCATTAGAGCCAACCTAGAGGCCATGGAAAAAGGTCTTACAAAAGACTAGCCAGGAAGCCAGTCACAGCCCCAGATCCTGCTGCTACAGAACACAATCTGCCTCTTGGCACCTCGGGCTTGCAGCTGCCAGGCACTCTCCTTATGTGGTCACTGGTGTTGGCTCGGAGGCTGGAGCAGATAGACGAGGAGGGCGAAGGGGGGGACACATTCATCACTGCCAGCAGCGAGGGGAGGCAGTGCCAAGTCACTATGTAACCAGGCACATGTGCCAATTTGCTCAGTAATTGGATTGCTATTTGAAAAATTAAAGCGGTGTCTAGAAAATTCTAACCCCTGCGTTTATGGAGTATGAAATTCGCAGCCGAGGGGGCTGAACAGGAAGAGCAGGGGGTGGTGGTGGTGGGGGGGGATCAAGCGGAGGTGTTTAAGGAGAGCAAATGTAGGAAGTAATTTGATGACTTTCCAGAGTGTTGCAGCAGCCTCTCTGTACCAGAGGGACAAAGAGCAAGACACAGTGCAGTGGAAAGCTGTGACATTATGGACAAGCCGTAACCCGCTGCTTACTACGGAAAATTAGGGAGGACTTGTCAGCTGAAAGCGATTTGTATAAAGAAAACATAATTAGGGGACGAGGCTTGATATACTTCTGTAATTAATTTTTTTCCCTGAAAAGAAAAAAAACAAACCCTGTTAATGGGTATTATTTTATCTTTTGGGGTTTTGGGTTTTTTTTGGAGCCTGTGAATTGTTACGTCTGTCTACTGTATGCATTGCTCTCAAATACATTTGGTGAACAAATCCCATGTGCTAATATTAAGCATAAATGATACTGAATTATCCAGCCACAGGGAGAGTTTCTGACTCAGAAATACACTTCTGCCACAAATCATTTCTGCTCCCACTGAAGCCAAATTCAGACTTTGCTTTGACTTCAGTGGGAGCATAATTACATGCAAAAATATAGTTACCCAAATAGTCCTTCAGGCATTTCGTTATTCCTTGCAGTTGAGCTCACTGGCCACCCTTATTCAGCTGAAAACCTTGAGCATATGGAGATGATAGATTATAAATTGTTCCTAAGATAATATTTGTAGTTTAAAGTATAGTCCAGTTGCTAGTAGCTGTATAAAAGTGGTACCTGTGTTCTTCATCACTGTTAAGCGGAAATTCAAGCTGGAAGCTCTGTCTTTAGAATAATAAAAAGCAAAAATCTATGGACTCATACTGAGGAGGAACTATTTGGAACCTCTGTGAAATGTCTGATTATTTCTCATGCACTCAGTCCCGGCAGAACGAGGTTAACACATGTCAAAGCAGAAGCTAAGGAAATTTTGGGTTGCATTTCTGCCCCTAGATGGAGTATTCTGCACACTGGGTTGGTTTTTTTATATATATTTTGGGAGAATGGAGCTGTGTTAGAGGCCTTGAAATGCCTCTTGTTCTGAATTCCCTTTACAGTGTATCGAGTGCTGCCCGCTGGGACTAGACTAACTGGGTCCCAGAGGTACAAGAGAAAAATCAAAAAAATAGGGTTTGTTTGTACAATTGATGAGATACTGTAAAGGCCACTGCACTTTCTTAGTGTCTCCCATTTGATGGTTAGGGATAGATATGTATGTTAAAAAGCAGGAAGCCTATACTTTGCCAAGTGTCACTAATTACTATGAAACATCTGATAATTGCAGCTTGCAGTGCCCAGTATTTCCATGATTTTCGTGGTATTCCCTCCTCTTAGTATGCTGGGAATGCCATGGTAACCTTAACCACTGGTAAAACATTTTAATAGTGACCAGTGTAATACAGTGGTTGTGGGCAAACAGCATGCACCATTGCTTCAGAGGTGTTTGGAACACTTTGCTTTTGTCACAGTTGGTGCAAAATGTTGCCAGATTTCAAGAGCTGAATCCTAAAAACTTGCCAAATAGGGAGCTGGAAGTGAGGTCTCCTGTTCTCCAGCTTCTGTCTTTGATCCTCTCTGGAGTTTCATTGATACATTCCTACCCAGCACTCACACGCTTAGTGAACCATGGCTCCAGAAAGCAGGGAGTTGCTTGGGAAAAGCACTTGGCTACAGACACTGTGTTTGGAGGGGGGTGGGTGGGTGTCAGATTATAGACCAGCTTTTGAAAAACCTGGATTGTTCTGTGTGTGTGAGCGAGAATTCAGCTGCAGGCTCTTAGCTCAGGTATGTTCTCATGTGGGCTTCTGGTTTAGCCCACTCCAACAGGAGGGACCAGCTGCAAAGTTTGTCCCTGGACTGGGAGCTGAATTCCTGCAGAATCCAGGATTTTAGTTTGGACCTTTTTAGATATGATGTAAATGCCAGCAGCTTCCTAACAACTGTTCTCGAAGCTCAGAGCAGAATTTAGAGCGGACCGTTGTGAGTGAGGGTTTTGCACGAGATATCCCCTTCTCAGAAGAGAAAGAAAAATCCCAACAAAACCTAAGCCATCTGACTGGAGTCCTGAGAAATGCTTTCCAGCTTTCAAAGAAAGAAAGGGTCTTAATTCAGATTTGCCGGAATCGTCTAATTAGTCCCTTTAATGCCATGCACCTTATAGTCTGTGCCACCGGATTCGTCCTATAAATGAGACGATGGGCTAATTCATCTTGGCAGCAGTAAACAGACCTTGTGATTGTCCCCCTCACAAACACCGGCCTGATTTTAGGAAAATGCTTTGACCAAGCCTGTGTCCCTGCTCCCCCCCCTCCCCTGAGCCCCCCAGCCTTTTCTGAGCGCTGCCTGTGCTTCTTGCCCTCCTTCTTCCCCACCAACCCACCCCACCCCGTCTCACACACAGTGACATACCTCACACATTTGCCACTGCTAACAACAACCTGTCAACTCTTTCTTTGCACCGTGCTAGGCGCCTTTTGTTTCCGCAGCCCAGCAAGCCTTGCAGCTGTTGTCCGAGGCCTGCTCCGACAGCCTGTGATCAGTCAGCTGCAAAATCCTCCCTGAACAACTCGGTATTCACAGCTCTAATCGGGCCAGCGGACTGTTTCCTCCTCTCTCGCAGTAAATCTTTATCACTTGCGCTCTGCTCGTCAGTTCGTGGCGCCAGCTCTTTGGGCTGCTCTATCCCTTTCCCATACTCTGCTGGGCTGTGTGCTCTGAATGCTAACTCCAGCCTTGTTTAGGCTCTGTGCTGCCTCAGTGCTGCAGTCCACGTGTTGGGAAGGTCCGAATTCCGGCTGCCTCCCCGCCTTTCAGGCGGAATGCGCGTGGAGTTTGTACCTCTGCGAAGGTGAAAATGGCAAAGGCTCCCTCCCTCCCTTGGTCCGTCTCGTATAAGTTAGTTGTGTGATTATCTTTCTGTTTCCTCCCAGCAGCCTGTTGTGCTTCTGTTTAGGAGCTGGTTTCGGTAAGGAGATGAGGGTGAGCTACCCAGCCGAGGGAAGCTGGTGATGGCAAGGGAAAGCCAGGGGGAAACTGGCACAAGCCTTAATTTGATCACACGCCCAGGGCTATTAACCTTCCTCCTAACGATCCCCCATGGATCATTTCCCTCCATCCTGTCCCTGACTTGATGCCATCACTGTCTTTTAAAAGATTTACATCGAAGATGTTGAATTGTGAAGCAGGATCAAAGTTTGCTTCCTTGGTGTCCCAGCTGAGTTGAGGAGAGCCCATGGAGAGTTTAGGGTGAGGTTTCTGTCAGTGTGGAGTTGCTGAGAATTTACACTGGTGGAGCTGGAGGCACAACTTTATCTGTGCCTGTTGCCACTTGTGATACAGCGTGGAAACTCATCCTGGGAAAACACTGAGGGATTTATTTCCCTGTGTGCTGTGTTTGGGCCTGGGATTGTAGATGGCAGCGTAATTAAAGCTCAATTGAACAGCACATTTTGCAAGGAGACTCAACTAGATCTTAAGTAAAGCTTGCAGGAGATCACTTTAAAAAGATAAATTATTCAGGACAGCGAGGGTTATTTGAGTTTATGAAGAACCTGGGAAACTTTTGTCTGAACACTGGCATGAGGACCAAAAAGTAGCGGGTTTAGATCTTGTCTCTGAACTGAGTCCATCTCCGGCACTGGAAAACCCATTTCTCTTTCTGCATCAACTTTCATTCCTCTCCTTAAGTCTTGGTTTCAGCTGTTCCAAGTTGTGTGTGTGCAACATGTATGCAGGGGTGAAGATTAACCAAATACAGAAATTCCTTGAAGGGTGCAATATGAACTTGGCTTTAAAAATACATTGTTTCTGTTGGTTTTGAGAGGCATCTCTAAAGTAGATACAGCTTGGACAGTCTGGGTTCAGTTTCTCATTAGTATATCTTTGGTCAGAGCTAAGTGTGTGTATATGGGACTCTTGCAATTTTGGCACTGGTGGTCAGTTGGAGTCTGTAAGGAGATGCCATCCTGCCAGTGCTCTTTGGTGTGCCCTTCGAAACCAGCTCCCACTTGCTTCCAGGTGGGATTTGTTTTGTGTCTGTGCTAACAGAGCTATAAATGTATTTTAGGCTTGATTTGGGAAAATAGCTTGGATTTTGCTGGTATTTGCCACAGAAGTGCCTTTCTGTTTCAGTGTGTTCCTTGGTGATACTCAAGAGGATTTGATTGCTGGCTCTTTTTCTGTCCATAAAGGCAGGAGTGGAAATATGATCTTCAGTAGTATGGAGTGCCCCATAAATAGGCTGATTATACCAGCTCATAGAATAGAATCCTAAAGGAGTTTGGGTTGGAAGGGACCAAATTTTTTTCTTTTTCTGTCAAATAGTAAACCACTGGACATGGTTATTTCGTGATATGATTAACTCCTATTTTATAAAACACTGGTACTTCACCGTGCTCTGGAAGAGTGATGTGGGCAATCCACCTGCTGTCCTCTGCACAAAAAGTGGTTGATTTTGAAGCGTTCCCCAAGAACTTGACATCCTTTAGACATCCTTGTACTTCCTATTTATTTATTTATTTATTTATTTATTTATTTATTTGGGGTTTTTTTAGAAACTCATGGTGGCTCAAATTGACCTGTAACCCAATATAGTGGAAGGAAATCTTTTAGCTTTATATTCCAAAGGAAGATTTTAACAGTCTGAACTGAAAGTGAATGGAACAAGGAGAGGACTTTCTCAAAATAACAACAACAACAGCAATAATACTTATTAGTGTTATTTAAACTGTTCACACGTCCTGTTTCTCCTCATGTTTTTGCCTTGAAGTGAGGGGAGTTTTTGGAGGATGCAGCTGGTGCTTACCTTGGTATGGTTCTAATTCTGTGGTGCTTGGTGGTGTGGGCTTGGAATGGTAAATTAGGAAAATGTCTACAAGTTATGAAATGAAGTTTTTATCTGTTCTTTTCCACAGAACTTTGTGCCATAGAGGAAAGCTCACAGGAGGCAAATATTCCTAATGGGAATGTGTTGTTCTTTGAAGAGTCCCGTCTGAGTTCTTTTGTCTTACAGGGGTGAGTTCAGTCTTCCTTCATTTTCACCCAGATCACAGGGAAGACTTTGCACTTTTTACTGTTTAGTGGCTGCTGGAAGAGGGCTCGTTCATGGCTCTGGGATGAACAGGATGAGCAGAATTTGAGAACAGCTTGTCTGTTCTTATTCCAAATTGAAAGTGGACTTGACTTACTTTTCCTAATGCATCTGGATGCATGTGTTGGAACAGGATATTTTATTGCTCTGCTTTTTTAATTTTAAGGAGCAATGTCAACTCTTGTCCTAGCTCCTCCTATATCTGTCTTCTAAGGTAATCTCAGACCCCAACATCTCTCTATTTGATTAATTTTTTTTTTAAGGGTAATGGATAATATGCTTACACAGTAATTCCATTTTAAAACAGTCTTCTAGTCTAGGAATTTTCTTGTCTGATTTGCCTCAGACTTTCCAGAAAGATTTTACCTTGGCTTAAAGTTTGCACCTGTGAAAGTTCAAGGAAATCTGTTTAGTTTTTGCTCTATGAGGAAGAGATTCTGCCAAAATTAAGGTTTTTTATGAAAGGCTAGTGGAAGTATGGATAGACTAGTTTTGTCATTACTAGACAGTACTAGTGTACAATCAGTCTCATCAAGAAAAAATGCGACTCCATGGATTTTATATTCCTTATGAAAATGACTTTTTTTGTTTCTTCTTTGGCTACTCAGGGTAGAATGCTTATCACTAACCCATCATGCTTAATTTTAGTGAGTCACTTCTTGTGTGCACATTTCCTGTACATCTTGAACAAAACCATGCAAAAGATGAGCGAAGAATTAGGAGGAAATTATAAATGGATCCATGTGACTGCCTTTTCTACAGATTTTTATTTTTTTTTCTTCCCTTAGTTGAGAAGTTAAGAGGGAATGCAGGGCCATGCAGTGTTTGTTAAGGCTGATGGAATATCTTTCTCCCTCTGGGTATTTCTTTAATCAATGTTCCTTTATACCATTAGGTCATCTCCTCTTTTTTTCATGTGTTTTTTTTTTTTCAGAAGAAGCCTTGTTTTGTACATTTCCGTACATCTTGACGTTTATTCTCAGAATTATGGCCTGATCACTTCCTCTCTTCTCCTCAAAATTTCTCTCGTTTCATCTATTTTAAGTGCCAGAGCACAAAGATAACCCCATCATAGCTCTCTCATTTTCCCCAGCAGTTCCACCCCCCCTTTCCCTCCCTGCAATGAAAAAAATGAAAGGTCTCATGGTCTTACAGATTTTTCTTTATGCTTATTTTGGCCTCCTTGCAACCCAAATACATCATCACGCTATAAGACGGCTCTCTGAGGCTCTTGGATCAATTAAAGGTAGCCCCATTCATTGCCAGGACAAACCTTTGCCTATTAACTCCTTCAAAGGGCATTTGTCATCTCACAAAGCTGTGAATGCCGTCTGGGTACATTGATTTAAAAAAAAGGTATTGTTTTAAGGCCGCTGAATATCTCAATTAGTTGTAATCAGAGGGCAGCTTGTGTGTGTGAAGTGATACAGTTACCTTTCACCTACTAGCTTTGTTTTCTGTGGGTTTGAAAGGAGGGGGGGAAAAAAAATAAATCTCCAGTGTACCTTAAGAATACTGGTTTTTAGGGTATGAGAGGAGCACACTCGCTGATCAAGCTGTAATTTATGGCATTATTTTGTAAAAGGCAAATATTGAATGTGGTAACCCAGAATGCATCTCATTGGCCTCTGACCAGCCAAGAGCGGGTGAGTGGAGCCAGCAGTCACTCTCCCTTTCTTCCCTCAGAAACCCAGTGTCTGTATCCTGGAAATGGAGAAATCTACCCCAGTTCTTCAAGTACTTACACGTGTGCTGAGCCTGAGCCCGTGAATCATCCATTAATGCCGAGCATACACAGCCCTGTTTGGCACGTCAAGGTAGAACAAGGTAACATTTTTTTTTTAGGTCAGTAGTTCCTTTGCCACAATTGTCTCAAATGATATGCAGCTATTTGTGAAAAGCCCTGGCAAATAGTTTTAGCTGAGAAAATGTCTTGTTCTGCCGTTCACTGAACCAAAACATTTCGCTCAGTAGTTAATGGTTAAAATTCGTTTTCTGTCTGCAGAGACCCTATTGAAAAGGAAAATCAATACTTTTTTCTTCCATGGGCTTCATGGAAGTTTTGTCGGTGCTTACTGCTTTCTTGGTTTGTTTTTCTGGGAAAACAACACAGTTTATATTTCATTTGAATGCATTTTGCTCAAATCAAATGGGTTTTTATGTACATCAGGGTATAGGCAGAACCCTTCCAGTCATGTCTTGATGGTACAGCAGTGGCTTCCATCCTTTGTCCCTCACTCTCTGGAGATGCATTTCCAGAGGAGGTGGTTTGGGGATATATGTGCCTTTCTTTCCATCTTTGTGCAAGTATCTTCTTACAGGTCAGAAAAAACACTTGACACAAAAAAAAAAAAAAAAAATCTGAGTCACACTTGTTAAAATGTGTGCTTTTGTGCTTCTTTAGGATGCTTATAGTGATGATGGTAAATAGCATTTAATTTGTTTCATTATGGGAAGGGGACACAAATGGTGTTTTACAGGGAGTCCCCCTTTATCTGGGACAAAAATTCTTTAGAAAACACCTAACACACTGACCATGTGTATCAAACTGCTGGTGCAGTGCCATGGCTGGGAACCAGCAGACAAATGAATCCCCAACACTCACCAGTGGCTCGCTTGATGAATTTTATTACAGGAAGTCCAGGCATGCACAGATTCTCAAGGTAATGCGGCAAAGTCATGTAAATTCAAGTGGTGCTGTACTCACTCTCTTATTTTCCAGTGGATAAGTGTCCTGGACAATGTATGGCTTGAAGCTGGAATATGTTTATGATTTACCTTTTTTTTTTTTTTCAGAAGCCAAGATTATACATGGTCAGGACAGTTCACCCTACATGTCTAGATCCTGCAAGAAGTACTTCATCTTTTTTTTTTTTTTTTTTTTTTAAATTTTACTTTTACAAAAATGCTTCACAAAGTCCAGTTCTGTTTTTAACTCACATTATAGACAAGAAGTTATTAAAATCTCTGTTTCATGGATGAGGAAAACCAGCCTGATAAAGATTAAAATCCCAATTCGAGGGAAAGCAGAAACTTAAGCACATCTTTTAATATTCCTGTGATTTTGGCATAAACTATCATGAATAATTTCTCTGGGATGCTGTCAGAGGTAGAAACAAAATATGCTTTGAGTTGCAGACAGTGCCTCAGCCTCAGCACTGCAGTGTATGGGCACAGGAATTTTTCTCTTTATACTTGCTAAAAAAAGGTGATGCATGGGATGGTCATGCAGGAGAGAGATTTATTTCTGTAGCTGGCTTTTTAATTCAGTGGTTCACGTACTATGGTGTTGAAGCTCATTTCATGAGTGGTGTGGAGATCTACGCAGCTCTAAACTTTTCCTTCAGCTCTGTAGATTTTCACAGATTGGTGTAGTATCTTTTCTTCCATCAGGTGCCTCAAAAATAAATAAGGGAGAAATAAACATGCACATTTCTCCCGTGGCTGTGATAAGCATATGCATGTATTTATATATATATAATGGTATTGTGTGTCTTGCTCTACATAACATTTTTAGGTGTCTGTACAAGTCGGAGATTTATGAAGTGTGACTCATTTTTCCTTCTCCCCACTGTTCCAGTGGAAGAGCTCAGGCTGCGATGAGAAAAACTAGTACACGTTATTAAGAATTCTGATAAAGTAGGCTGAATAAATTTGTTTTCTTTGTGAGCCTTAATCCTGTGTTGTATTGGCTTCTTGGACATGGCTAATTTATTTGGAATTCCATTCTGTTCCCGACAGCATTCCTGATTAGCAGTTTGATCACCCGGAGCAAAGTTACATACCAGCTTTCAACTCTTGTAATCTAGCAGTGTAATTTTTTCAAATGGACTCTTTTCTTTCCTTCTTTGCCCCAGCTCCCCTTCTTTTTGTGTGCAAAGAGACTTTAAAAGTAAGCAGGATAACCTGCTAGCGGAATGAAAAACTCCTCCAAAACACAATGTAGTTTGCTGAATGCCCGACTTTCATTTTTAAACAGAAAAATGAGGTTTGGAGCTGTGGCGGTGCAGCATGTGAAACGTTTACCTTCCATCACGCGCAGAGGATAACAGTTCTTTTCAATAACTGCATTTTGTGGGTGCTGTGATATAATCTTCAAGTTCTTTCCAAGGTCTGTGGTTCGCCAAAGCGCGTTTTGTTTGTGATAAGTTTCAGAAAGTTCGAATTTTTATTTAGTCAAGTTTTTCACCTTATGGACCTTGTAGGGAAATGGCAGTTGTGTCGTAGTTTGCCTCTGTCTAAACTGGCTTATGCTGTCAAAACAAAGGATGAATAGGAAACCCAAATTTAATTGTAAACCAGGGGCAGGTTTTGATCTGGTTTTGGCAGAGCACAGGAAGGAGCATCCTCCGAGTGAAACCGGAGGAAATGGAGCCCTCAGCAGCCCCCCAAATCTGCCAAAGACGTGGAGTTACAGGCAAGGGGGAAGGGAGTTTCCAGTCCTGTGACATTTCTTAAGGTCCCAGTCTGGTTTGTGCACAGTGAGAAGGAAAAAAAAGGTTTTTAAGTCAAGAGAGACGTGGGAATAGCCCAGAGATAGGTGACCACAGCACTTGTCAAAAGACTCAAACTGTGGTTTTATGCATGAGTGCCTTGGCTGTATAATGTTTGGAGAGTGTCTGTTTTGCACTGATCTTGAATTTAATGGATCTGAAAAGCAGCTCTTGACAAATATTTTGTCAAAACTGAAGCACGTTTAGCCACATTTCTGTGTTTGAAAAAACGACATTTCAGTTGAAACCCTGTTTTTTCAAAAATAACACTAATTAAATTCTCTGCTGAATTTATGTGAACTACTCAGCTACTCTGAACTTTGTAATGTAAATTCTAAATATTTATTCTAGGCTTTTTCCTTTGAGTCACTAAAATATGTTTGTGTTTTTACGTTTGTCTGCAACTAGGTGGGCATTTTGGATATTATGAAACTTTTAATTAATTGATACGACTAAGTATCAAATGGCATATATGTGATCTATTCTGCTACTGCCAGGTCGTATTCTGATGACATTCCTAGCAAGAAATTCCTATAAATGAAAGGGAACCAAAATATCTGCTGCTAAGCATTGCCACATCCAGCAGCATGTGGAGGTGATCATGGAATGACAGCTCCATAACTGCAGAGGTCTCATCAAGTCTTCTTCTGAAATACAGATGTCTTCAGGTAATGACTTTTAAGACTGATTTATGAGTTTTTGCTTCATTTTCTGCTTGTCCTTTCCCCTCACTTTTATTGTGAGGGTTTTTTTCCCCTGCAATCTGTGCCCTTCCTTTTGCAATTAAATTTCACTTTTGACTGTGAGGCCTTTGAGGATGAGCTGGAGTTTTACAAATACTTCTGGTTTTATGGACACTGAAATTAGTCTTAGGGGAAGAAATACGTAACAAATGCAGTAACTTATTTCTGTCCTTTTTTTTTTCTTGATCATGGAAATGGGAATGTTGAACTGACTATGGTGGGATTCTGCTGGGGATTTTCCAGTAGAAAACCAGTGGGGCAGGTGTTGACTTTGCTTTGGCTCAATGCAACATGGAATGATCTCGATATGTGCGTGTTATCACTACTTATTTGAAACAGGAATTGGCCTTGAATATCAGGTTTTGTCCTCTAAAGCTGTGAAGACCTTGATCTGCCTCTTTTCAACTGGTATTTTTGTTTTCCAGCGTGATGTGGAATGCTTGTTCAGGAGATTTCACATATGCAAACTGGAGCAAGGTGCCTTTTTGACTCTGATAACTGTAGAAGGCACATGGTTCTGAGAGATAAGTGCTGGCCTTGAATTTTTCTTTTGCTCTTAACAAAGAGCTGGGAACTTCTTGTTAGCCATGCCAACTCCTGCAGCTCTTTGCTGTTTTCATTTGTAGGTACCCTGAGTTTTGAATGCGTGGCAAAATGCAGTAAGTCAAATATTCCATTTTTTAATTCTAATTTATTAATGTTTTGGGATGTATTTCGAACTGATGGCAAGAGTGGGTGTTTTGTGATTGTTGTTGTATTGTCTGCTTCGTCACTTGTAACTTCGCTTGATATTTTGAAATTTTAGGAGTGTAGTGATATTTTAGGAGATAGACCTACTTTGTAGGGGAACTGGAAAATAAGGTGTGAAACCTATTGCCATACATTTTAAAGTCAACAAAACTGTGTAATACATAATTATTTTTACCAAACGACCCTACAGTGGGCACTGATGATCAGGATAATTAATTACGTAATAATTTAAAAGCAAAACATGGAATTTTTAAAATAGATCCAAATTAGAGTATTTTAATAAATATTTGTAACAGAACAGGGTAATAAAGTCGGTTATGTGATGAAAACATATGTTAGTAATAAAATATCACCCGTCAGGAACACTGTTCTGTCATGCCATTGCTCTCTAGGGAGATGACGAGCTGAGAAGTGATTTTAACAAAATAAACTCTGAACAGAGGGGATGCTTTTATTGGTGATACAACACAAAAAGGCAAATCTTTAAAAAGTGGTGCCAGGAACGTCTGCTGTGTGAAAAAGTAAATTTTGCAAAATCCAGATGGTAATTATCAATATACAGGCTGGAGCTGATGGCCAGGGCATGGGATGTGCTGGGTTACTGCATTGGCTAATGTGGGAATTGCTAAAATCCTGCTGGTGGTTTCCAGCAATCCTGGATGTCACCCAAGATGTGCTTTCAGGTGCATCCAGTGACATCCAGCCAGAGGGACAGATATTGCTTTTCTGGAAAAAGGCAGGTGTCATTGCCTCAACCTGCTATTAGCTAATTATTTACTGTTATTATAATTATGATGTTACTAGCTAATGTTATCAGCTGTTATTTTACAGCTACAAAATGAGCCAGTTGCCCAAGTGAGTATGTGATGTAGAGCCCCTGGCTGGAGATGACAGTGGTGATGCTGTAGCAGGTAGAGCCACTGAACAGTTCATCAAACTGTTTTTCCCTGCTGAAATCCCTTTCAGATGAGATGATGATTTGCTTTCTTCTCATCTGCATGGATGTCAGTCTCTTAAAAAAAAAACAAAACAGGTTAGAGAAACAGCTGTCAGGAATGGCCTGGTTGATCTTGCTTTAGGGCAAGCTGATAGACCTTTTGGGTCCCTTTCATCCTTTTTCCTGTGACTGTAGGTGGCCCCAGTAACATATATATATATGTGTGTGTGTATATATTTGTTCTCTCCAGCCTGCTGCATTTTTTCAGCAAAAATATTCACTAGTCGAAAGGAGCGGTCCCTTTTTAACTCAGCGTCTTTTGAAATCTGTAGGTATAAAAAAGACACTCATTGTTCAGTGCACCTCCACAAAGATTCCTTCTTAATCCTGACTGTGTGTACTCATCCCTTGCTTGAGCCTTCCTGTGCAGAGGAATTTGAGTTGATTCACATTCCTTCATAAATGCATGCAGGGTAATACATCACACTTTCTTTCCCTCTAAGCATTCTGATCAGTTCTTTCCAACTTTCCAACTCCATTAAAAAAATCTGTGTGGTAGGTGAGAGAACCCATCAGTGCAAAGAAACTCCTGAAACCCCTCAGAGTATTTGCTTTGCTGTGCCATTTAGCTGTTTACAAAGCCCAGGGCTTTGCTTCTGATACACAGTCAGTAAAGGGGAACAGACTATTTTTATTTTTAATTGCAGTGTAAATGTGTGTGTCGGCCTTGTAGAAGGCAATGTGCTGACTCTCGTGAGGTTACCCCGATCAAGGGCAAATTTGACCAGAAAATGGTACTTTGAGAGAATATTGGCAGTCAATATTTTGGTTTAATGCAGAATTTTTGAAAATCAGGGGAAGCAGCCAGGCTATTGCTTGGGCCGTGTCCAAGTCATTTCACTTACTGCTGATCCTGCCCGTTTTTGCCTTCACAGCTCTACTCGTCCAGGCCCAGGCAAAGAATTGCTTAAACATCTACAGAAGTTCCTTGTTTTCTTCTTGAACTGGATCCTGTAGCTGTGCTCATTCTGACGAGGCCTTGGCATCCACAAGGACCTCAAGGTATTACTGTGCCTGTTCCCTGATTTAAAAGGAAAAAGAACGTGGAACTCCCAAAGCTTCACGTCTCTGAATCAGGCTCTAATTTCTTTTTTAGACGGAAAGTGCAGTTTCCGGGGAAAGGAGCTTGCTGGTGGAGTAAGTTTGAAAAGATTGTAGCAGTTCCAGTAATTACTCATTTCATCAACCCATCTATATTTAAAGTGAGCTAAACCGAGTTCTTTCCTGCAATGTCTCCTTCAAATAATGCTGCTTTACATTTGGAGAGCCAAATAAGGAAACAGAGCATAATCCTACCGGAGTTTCTTTGCCCTTTAGTTCCTACGGCTCAGGGACTTGCTGTAACAAGAGCACCCCTTTCTATGAAAACCTTTTTAACGTATTTGACTAAACAAACTATCTCCTGAAGAAAGTGAGAGCATTTTTGTGTGGGTGTGTGCTTTGTTCTAGCCTTGGCTCTTGAGGACATTTCTGTCGATGCACTAAATGAGCGATACATTTTGGACAGCTTCTGTGTTCTGATTTGTTTTCTTGTGCTTCTTTTGTTGTTTTTTTTATTGGTTTGTTGTTTTTTTTTCCTTCCCCCTCCTCTCCCTCCCTTCTTCCCCTTTTTCATTTGTCTAGGAGGAAAAAAATAAAAAAGCTCCTCCAGTGTTGTTTCCTGAAAAGACCATTCTTAAGAGCTCGTTGGACAGCGCAGGACTCTTGAAGTGATAGCTAATTGGTGAAAGAAAGGCCCTGATTGTCTTGAGGGAGCTGGAAAGTGCTGCGTGTGCTGCTGAAAGGGACTAGGGAGAAGGTGCCTGGTTTCGCCGAGCAGCTGCTGCTGGAGATGTTTGGAGATTACATCAGCACTGGAAAAAAGGGGCAAAAAAAAAAAAAAAAAAGAAGTCCAACTTCACAGAGAGGGAGTTTATGGAGGTTTTTTTTTTCCCCCCTCTCCCTCCTTCCAAAGGTCTTCTGACAATACTGTCATTGTCAATATAAGAGTTGTTAATTCTTTATGAATAGCACATGGGGCCTCTTGACTAAATAGTACGTTACATGTCCCAAATCTGTCAGCTGGACTCTTCTCTCACATGCTAGTGAGATCACTTTGATTGGAATGTTAGAGGAATCGCTGGGCTGGCTGTGCAGAACTGAATACTGCATTATATAATTAGATCTCCCAGACTATTTTTTTCACATTACCTCATTATTCTAGCTTAAACATGGAATCGGCCCTTTTGATGATTTTGCTGGTTGTAATTATATTAATACGATTCATTTTGTGGTCCTGTCTAAGTGCTTATATAGATCATAAACTGTCCCGAAGGTTTCCTGACGCAAGGAAAGAGGACTGAGAGACTTCAAAAGGCTCCTTAAACGGAGCTGGAGCAGCTTTTACCTTGGGGTCTGATGAGAGAGAAATGGCGTGCCGAGACTGCAACCGAGAGAGGACTCTTCAGAAAGCCACGTGCTGACAGAGGGGAAAGAGTGACAACTGAACCACTCAAATGACTTCCTCTCCATCTTGGGCATGGGAACATCTCCTTTCAGATGGGTGTTATACTAAGCCAAACATCCTAAACCTTGCTGCATACCCAACTCAGTTTGGCATCTGCTTTCAAGAACTGTATTTTCTGGTGTAAAAATGGAAGGACTGTATTGCTTTGCCTGAGGCCCACTCATCTTTCTTTTTTTCTTTTTTTTTTAAGAAAAAAGTTCTTTTTGTTTGACAAATTTCTCTGTCATGTAAAAGTGAAGGCTGCCACTTGGTGTGCTTAATTCTGTATCTCTTGGTAGCTCACGTGATGGTGTCAGAGCTCAGCTACAGAATTCCCACCCAAATTTCCCGACCCATTCATGACTCTCATGTTCCTACAGGTTTGTAACTGTTAATCAGCCCTTATCACTTTGTGTTTGGAAGCCTCCTAAAATTCAGACATGAGAACTGGTCTGTGCTTATGCAGGCTGAATGTCTGGTCTATTGACTTCAACCTCAGATTTTGTTTGTGGTGGACGACCAATGTACTGAACAGCCTGCAACACCTGAAATGCATGTCATTGACTTGAAATCCAGCCAGATGACAATAAATTAAATGTAGATGTAACTAACCCCTTGTCTGTATCTCTGGTTCTTAATTTTAATGATGATTCTGTCCTTTTTTTATTTCCCAACACCAGCAAACCACAGAGGGGAAAGTGAAATGTTGTCTATTTGATGTGAAGACATAACTTTGATGATGAGTAACTGGAAAAATGGGCACAGTGATCCATTTTTCTTCTTTCAGTTAACCATCCCTATTCTTTGTTGTTGTGTGCACAACTAAGCTTGTAGATAAACTGATAGTGCCTCTAACAAACAAGTCTTCTAATTCCTTATTGCAGAACTACTTAAGCAATTATTTAATTAAAGAATTAAAAAAAATTACTGAAGAATTCATTGAGATCTTGTTGCCTGCTCAACCCTTTATGCATTCAAAGCAGTTTTATTACCACCTTTATTAATTTCTGTGGATTCATGTAGTTTTTATCCAGTTCTGCAGGACATGGGGAACCATCCTGTTTATCCTGCATTACAAAATTTGGTCTATCACACTTGCAAGAGTGCAAAATATGAAGGAAATGGAGATCTTCCTCTTTATTCCCATGGGCTTTTTTGCCCTTTCTCTTGTCATGGAGATAATAAAAATCTTGGCCCTTTAAGTGTGATGTGATTTGAAAGTGTCTATTAGTATTTCCTAGTGTAATTTAACCATATTTGTTTTCCTTAAGGAAAACATAATATAAATATAATATTTTAAATTGTTTTGTGCTTTTTTTTTTTTTTCCCAGATATAAAAGATTGTGCCTGTGCTTACAAATTCCTTTCTGTTTCCTGAAAGGGGTGCAGTGGAAGGAGAAACTTTGGAGAACAACTGCTTCATGTCAACTAATTGTAGTTTATTTAAGGCCCAACTTGAAGCCCATACTTTGTTGGAATTTGAATGGGCTTGACTGGAAATCACTTTGGAGTCTTTTAAAAATCATTCAATTTCATTTAGTATTTAAAAGATACTTATGCCCTACTGATTTTTCTGTGCATTTAGGGATATATGTAAAGATAAGCACGATATTAATGTCAGTTTTGAACTGTGGACAGTGTGAATGAAGATTACAGTGTGGAGCCTCTCTTCAAGACATGACACAAAGGTAAGTGTAAAGAAAGAGAGAAATAATAGTGAAATTAAAATCCTTCCTAATGTTGAATCAATTATATTTTATATACATAGATTCTCTATATATTGTGTCTATATTGTATATTATATTATGTATTTATTAATTTATATCCCTAACATGCTAAATAGTGGCCAAAATTAACATGTTATCTATAGGGAAGGAACCTCACTCTTTGCTTTGAGACATTATCTAAAACAGGGTTAGATTCTGTTCTGATTTATTTTGGAAAATCAAATTTTTGGGACTCCATTAACAGACACATTTTATCTCCCAGTGTGTTTGATAGTGGAGCACCTTTGTAACCAACCAGCAGCACTGACCTGGTGAGGCACTAATACAAGCAGGTGCAATCACAGCAGTTAATAAACCACCAACTTCCATATCTGAATTTCCTCCTCCAGAAGACCACTGTTACAAAAAGAATCTGCCTTACAGGTGATGTCAGGGTCAGTTTATTCATGTTGTGGAGAGTTTATGACCTTTGCACACTTGACAGTGCAGATACGTGTGTGGATGTGTGTGCAGGCATGTGTGTTCATGTATATTTTCATTTAAGAATGTTGATATTTGAATATCTTGTGTTTACAGCCCTCCCCATTTCAATGTGCTCAATCTTGTGTAGCTCTGGAATTAAAACCACAGAATTAACTGCTTAGGTAGCTGGCATCACAAAATGCCACGTGTGTTGGGATATGTTCATTTAGGGTGACTGTTTTCATGGTACCAATAAAAACAGAGTTGATCCCAAAATAAATAGCCATTTTCGAGTTCCACAACTGATAATTTTTTTTTTTTTTAACCCTGGCTCCAAATCTTTCTGAGCTGTAAACCCTCAGCTGATTATAAATATCCTGAGAGTGCAATTTCTGTCCTGCGTTGGGCAACGCGCAAAAAAAGTTGGCGTTGTGGGCTGCATCGTGGTGTGGAGAACTAATTACAGATAAGCTCATGGTCGTCTGAGCGTGTAATTATATTTATTGATTAAAATAATTCTACAATTTTTCTGTTGCAGTGCCATTACACCGGTATCCATTTACACAATTACTGTCAAACCGCGTAAAGCCGACCGCAGAAGGGCTCCCTTAAATGGATCTGGCGATGCAACAGGTGGCCTAATTGCTTGAGGTAGGTCCATTACAGCCAAATTGGGAGTGGAGAAGCTGAAGACACAAGTAGGGCTACAATTATGTTGGCCCTTGCAGGAGGAATCTGAACAGCTGGGGGGCCCAGTCACCAACTGCTTACACTGAACTACATCATCAGCGGAAGGCTCGGGGTGACTTGTGTGACCAGCACTGCTCCCCAGGTCCATGTTCCATGGCACAGCCCTGGGGAGAAGTATTGTTGGGGTGTCTCTGCCAGGATTCGTGTAGGCATCAGACTGGTGGACAATTAAATGGCAGAGGTCTTGTCTCGGTCGGAGTTGCCCCATAAATGCAGTTGGGTAAGGCTCGATTGTCACCCACCTTGCAGGGTGGCACTTTGACTCGCTGCAGGCAGGGCTTGTAACAGCATCTCTTGCTAAGACTGCCAAGCAACTTCCAGTCCTAAAAGGTGAATGTTCAGCTCTTCACAGTTTTGTCAGTAGCTGCTCAAACTAGATTTTTTCCATGTTGCATTTGGTGTCTGCCTGTGGATGAGTTCCCTTCAGAAAATTTCAGTTTAATGTCTTCCAAGAACAAGACTAGAGAAAAAATACATTGTTTTACCCATGCTGCAAAAATATTGACAAGGTTTGGTTTGTTGGTTTACTTTTTTTGTTTTTTCTTCTTTTTTAAAGATGTAGTTCTCCTACTCTGGGAGATAATTTTTGCTCAGCCCCGTCAGGGATATGCAACTCCTGTCTCCAGTGAAGAAAATGATGGAGGTACCTACCAGAAATTCAAGGGGTACAGGATCAGATCTGATGTGGGCTGGAAGCAAAGCCTGCACAGAAGGGGGCGAGTAGTTGATTGAACAGTGGATGAGGGAGGAGACACACCAGATGGAATTAGGCTAGTTTGGACTAGCAGACAGGGCAAAAGTGGAGACTGAAATACATGACCTAAACCATTCTGTGATGAGACTGAAATTAGGAGGCTGAGACTTACTTAGTGAAGTGATTTGACTTGGAATAAGGAAGTCCAGGGAACTGTCAAAGGGATAAGAGTTGAATAGTAGGTTTGCTGGATCACTTTCCCTTTAAAATACTGGTATAAATCCTGGAACTTAAGTTTTATCCTTTTTTTGGCTGTCAACAGATTTCTGTGAAATTCACTGTCAAAAACTCCTCTGTCCCATCTACCTCTCAACCTCCAGCAGAAAATGCTCTGGATTCGTGAACTCCAGATTTTTTAAAATGATGCAACAACATTGAGCACTGACATTAGGACAGTAATAGAATTAAGGCTTTATATGCACTTTTTTGCTCTGCTCCCTGAGTATTACGACAGGTTCTTTTGCTCATTTGTTGCACAGGATGAAATTCTCTGGGAAGGAAGCTTGCAGGAATAATGCTTTGGATATTCAGAAGTGGAGAGAGGGAGTAGGAGAGACAGAGCTCTAGGAAGACTAAAGTTTTGAGTGCAGTGATGAAGAAATCAATTCCATCTTAGTCTGTCATTGTAAGTGAAAACAGAAACATGTATTCTTTGCTTTGTGTCTCTTTACCTTTGGCTTTGTCTCTTTACCTAATTTGCTCATGGGCCAGGCACTATAAACTGCAGATTGCCAGGTTAACAAATAAACTAGTAACAGTTTAACAAACTACCTGGTACACTGAGAATTCAAATTTTGGGAGTCTGAAGTGAGACATGTAAAATAAGTAGATGGGAAAGGAGCAATTCTTCTGTACTTTGGTTTCTTACTGCAAAATGAGGTAATGTGAACACAAAAAAAGTGTTGATCAACATCTGCAAAACACATACACTTTAAAGGACATTCAGGAGGAAATTAATTATTCTTACACAGGGGACCAAGTGCTGATAATGAAGAAAACATGAGAACTAATTAAGCAAGCACTGTCCATCCTGTTCGGTGAATGTGGCAGGAATATCTTGGAAAAATAATATACTTGGCAAATGAGTACAACAAAATGGAGGGAAATTAACGTTTCCTCCCATGTGTTGTAGAAGAAAACAATCGTTGCTCCTCTCTAAGGTGCTAGTGAGTGGCCAGGTGTGTGTAGTACCACTTAGTTTCTAAACTCTGTTCACAGCTGACTATTTCATAGATGCAGAGCTTGCAGCACTGAGATGTGAGTGCTCTGGGTGTATGCAGAAATTTAAAAAAAAAAAAGTTGATGTAGAATAGAGACGTCCACAGCATTTAGGTGCACGTGGGAGATGTTTAGTTTTGCATGTTGGCCTTGGATCCCTAGACTGCATATCAATGGTACATCTCTAAATCCCTTTTTTTTTGGAGAGGCCCAGGTGAGTTTGGAACCTGGGTTCCCTATTTAATGAATACTTGAACTTGAAACTTTCCTGTGTGAGCTGAGACCCTTTTTCTGACTGCCTCACCTCTGAGAGCTGGCAGCCTTAAAACTCTCAATCAGAACTTCTAACTGATAGTTATCAGGTGGATAGTCTCTCTTTTGTTCTTTCAAGAATAATTTTTTTTTCTTTGCCACTGGGTTATATATAAAAACACCCCAAATAATTAGTGTGCTCTATTCTGGGAATTATTACCACATCATGAAATCTAGAAATAGTTATTCCTCCTCCCCAGCCATTGTATGAAGACGAATTCGTGGAAGGAGGATTCATCAAGGGCTATTAAGTGCAGGAAATCCTTGTGCCTCCAGAGTGTCGAAAGCTGAAGAGGATATTAAGAGAAGCATCACCAAATGCTTGCCCTATTCTTAGTTTCTTTGTAGACATCCACTGTCGTCGTGATGGGG